CTGCTAAATGTACTGTCTAGAAGCTACTAGCATGCAATTTCAAGGCCTCTGCTTTCTTCTCTCCTGGCTTTTTTATTTTTACACTGGACTTCAGCTGGTATCCTTTTCATGTAAAGGATACATTCCACTAAATGATGGCAGTCTAAGAACCCTTGAAATGGAGGTCTGTCTCTCTAATAGGGGTGTCCTAGCCACCCTATCTTGAAGTCTTAGGCCAGGACTTGGCCATAAACCTCCATAAATAAGGACATTACAGTGGTGCCCCGCATGACGATGATAATCCGTTCTGGGAAATCGTCATCATGCGAAAAGCCTTTCCCCATTGGAATGCATTGAAACCCATTTAATGCATTCCAATGGGAAATTACCTCGTCGTCCAGCAAAGATCGCCCATAGGGAAGCCATTTTCCAAGAGCCAATCAGCTGTAAAAATGGCTGCCCTGCGAAGCATGGGTCTGGAAAATACAGGGCAGCCATTTTGCGGAGCTGGAAAAATTGTCATCTTCGAACAAACAGTTCGCAAAGCACGGACCTAATCGACGTCCAGTGGAATTTCCCCATAGGAATGACTGTTTTGCGAATCGCTATAGCGATCGCAAAAAGTCACCGTCCTGTGGATTCGTCGTACAGCGGGGTCTTCGTCTAGTGAGGTACCACTGCATTTCTTTAGCTTTATTTGTGATAGAAGGGAAGAACAAGGCAACAACCTTCTGCATGAAGAATCAAGGAATGTTAGAGCAGCAGCAGTTGCAAAGGCAGATAGGAAGGGGGTTTCCAGCCATGATTTTTCTCTTCTGTCTTCCTGACCTCCACCATGCCCCTGGTGATGTAGGCTGAAGGTCAAGCCACACAAGACTCAGGGACCTAGCCATGCAAATCCCAGCACAATCAGAGTGTAAATTAATGCAGTTCTTTAGTTCTGATGACAAGCCAGCTTTGGGAAAGCAGAAATGCTCATGGGATTAAAATCGGAAAACTTTTTATACATTGCCACGTCTTACATTGATACAACCATTGCAGTGTGTATTTCAGCCCTGATGCTCTTAGGAGATGCTTGCACTTCCCTTTCCAGTTCTCACCATCCTAGCATGGAGCAAGGTTGTGGTCCTCCACAGGTACCTAAGCTTGTTGTGCTAGAAGGCATCTCTATCAGAAAGCTTGCTTCTTCATACTACCGTATTTTTCCATTATAAGACACCCCCATGTATAAGACGCCCACCACTTTTCTAATCCAAAATTAAGAAATCTAAGTGCGGCTCAGCAAGTGTAGGGAGAAAGGGATGAAAGTGCTTCAGGATCACTTTGATCCCTGCTTTCCCCTCCACTTGTTTTTGTTCTCTCCTCAGCTTACTTCCATGTATAACAAGACCCTCAATTTTTAGTCTAAAGATTTTAGACAAAAGAATAGTCTTATACATGGAAAATATGGTAATTCTGCATTGGTTCCACTGATTTGGACAGAACGTCCCGCTTGAAGATACATACAGGGAAACTAAGTCAGCCCTTACCTGCTGGGCACAGGAAACGCACGGCATAATTCAAACACATCTGTCCTGCAGGCTGCTCTTTATTCAGACACCAGAATCCTTCCTGGGGATTGGCATGGACCACTTGACCCGTGTTGGCTGCAGGGATCCAGTCTGTTGTTCGCACTTCAATCTGGATGGGCCGCGGACATACCCTCTCCCGGTAGTAAAAGCGGATGGCATCCATGCGCTCATAATCGCCATTGCCTCCAGGATGGTCAATGTTGAACCAAGATGTCCATGTTCCAGGACCTCAATAACAGAGGAAGAGACCGAAGTGAGCATGATAGGTCAGTATCCTGTTCCATGAGATTTGGGGACCAACCCCTGAAAGAAGGGCAGAGCTTAATGACCTCACAGGAGTGGATCCTTGCACTCCTTCAGGCAAGGATTGAAAAGGGATTCAGAACTACTTCTGGGCCGGGTATTATGGGAATAGGTGTTGGGATTATTGCAACCTTCATATGCTGCCCTTATGAGGTTTTAGCCTGGAGGGTCCTTCCTAGACTGGGGTGAATGTCACAGCCAGTTGATCCCTCTCTGCCTCAGATTTTGAAAAGACCACACCTCTCTACTCAAGAGTTCATTTCCTGCTTTTTTGGTCAGTAAGTGGAGAGCTCACAATGTAGTGATGTGCATTCAGTTAATCAGTCATGTGCTTAGTCAATCATGTAACCAGTGTGAATCTAGTTAGTCAGTTAAGCTCTGTTCATGTAACCAGTCAATATGCTGTTTTTTTATCTGTTCTATTCAGAACTGTGAGTAAATGGAAATGTTTTATTCTTTCTCTTACCAGTGTCTCTGAGTGAATTATTGAGACAGTAAGTGCCAGCTAATGAGAAAAATATCAATGAGGGGTGGTCTACTGTGGGGCAACTTGAAGCCAATTCTGATCTGTAGGTCCCTGGCCGTTTATCTGCTGCACATCTAGAAGGAGTTTTAAGCCTAAGATTTCATCATCTGCCAAGAATAGGTACAAGGCACTTCCATGTCCCAGCACGTGCACTCAACAGCTCTCTCCCTGTTCCTGCTTTCTGGTACACCAGTGTTGTGCAAGCAGAAGACACCTCTAAACCTCTTTGCATTGAACCCCTCAGCCCTGATGCCAACTGCTTGCCTTGTGGTCCTCTCCCTCACTTCCTCTACCGGGCGTATTCAGGGCAGACCCAGACACTGGCCAGACCGTGACAGTAATCTCTGATGTTTGAAGGCAGGGATGGCGGTCCAGCCATCCATTCTCTGCTCTCTGAGTTGGCGGGTTCCACCACTGGCATCTGTGTACCACTGCCACGGCCCACCTGCATCCCCCGGCCACTTCTCAGCTGGCCAAGGCATTGGAGTAGCTGGGCAATGGAGGCAAATGGCAGTAGTAGGAAAAAGACCTCCCTCTTTCTCCTCTTTCTCCTCCTCTTCCTCCCTGCTACATCTCGGCAAGTGTTGCAGAGGGAGGAGGCACAGAGCATCAGTGCTCCCCTACGTGCCTCAGGCAGCAGGAGAGCTCGGTCAGGCGCTATTTGCTAGAGTAACATCTTAGCTTTTCTCTTGACTCCATCCACCGTGGGCTATCCATTTGTGACTCTTTTTTTGCATGCTAATGAAACCCTTGATTCCCCAGTCTATTGGAAATGATCAATGTAAACAGAATGCCTTTAAACATATAAATGTCATCAGGAGAAGATGGGCTTTTAATTTCTATCAGGACAAGACTAGGGTCTATCTTTGAGAGACGGATGGGTGAGCTGCAAGGAACCAAAAAACTGAAAACCATCCTTAGGCCAGAAATATACCTTAGAGATTGCCTATGACTGGAAGAGGGAAATCCTTAACTAATACAAGCATCTGAGTATCAGAGGAGGAGGTGCCCTCATCTCTAGGATTATACAGATTATTTTGCTCAATTTGGTGATTGTTCTTCATCTGATTTCACAATCACAGAAAGACTGCCTTTACCACCTCTCTCCAAATTAACCTCTCTGATTATGGGTTATCCCCTAAAGTCCATTTCTTGCCTATGGGAATGCAGGACAGACAAGTACAAGATGGGAGCAGTTCTGTTCTCCCACAGAGAAAAAAAGCTGCTGGGAAGCGGGTGATGTACACAGAACAACCCGAGTGGCTACTGCTGTTCCTGTGTCTTTGCAACACAATATATGCTGGAGTCTGTCTGTGCATAGTTGTGTTGCTGTGCTCTTGGTAGAGACAAACTACAGTTCTGTGTTTGCTTTTTAGTGTTCCAGCCAAAGCAGCCAAGTTATGTCTCTTTTGGGATAGCCAAAATCAGTTAGGCAGTGGCAAGTATCAACAAGTTTTCCATTACAGAAGAAGGTCATGGCTGGATCTGTTGCAAATTAAGCACTTTTTTTATTATTTTCAAAAACTGGAACTGCAAGAACAAGCCTCCCTCCCTCTCTGCTAAAAACAGACTTACCGAGAATGGAAAATGACTTACTGTCTGGACTGCCTTTGGCTGAAAGGCCCTGGGGTTTCTGTCCTGGTGGGATCCTGCTGACCGACTGCTTTAAAACCCGTTCACCTGAGGATGAGACAAGCCAGAAAACCAAAACAGCTGGAGAAAACAGTATATCCCAATGATAAAAGAAGCATTTGCTGAAATCCAGTAATGAGTCACAACTAGAGTAGGCCTATTTATTAATCAGTGGAATTTACAGAGGAGTTTACTCACCAAATCCCCATTGATTCAATGGGCCTACTCTAGATGGATGTCAGCAGTTGAAATTATTACAATTAATAATTTCTTCGTTTCTTTCAGGCACGGCTTGGTAAGTAAATGACAAATAACACGCAAGATACCAGACGCTCAGTCTGAAAAAAAATCTGCATGTCTCTTAAGTGCCGTTTTTGTATAGCTGCTTCGATAGCTCAGTGAATCAGGTTTCTAATCGCCTAGCAGAGGTTGGGAATTTGTACTCTCGGTTGGAGTTTTTTGCAACCTCGCATGCTGCCTTCAGTAGCTTTGGCTGGGAGGGATCTTTCTTGGCTGGAGCGACTGTCAATCTATCCAACACTAACCAATTGTTCCTCCCTTGCCTCTGAATTCAAAGAGAGCCCCGCCTCCACCCCACCCCCATTGTCTGCTGGCCGCTAGTGTAGTCTGTTTGAAGCAGTGAGTTTGATGAGGCCTGTTACTGAAAGCAGTCATGTTTGTTCTCAGTTTGCCATCTTTTCTGTTCACTGTAAGTAAATGAAAACTTTTATTCTTCCTTCTATCCATGTCTGAAAGTGAGTTATTGAGACTGTAAGTGCCAGTTGATGATAAGGGAAGGTGCACTAAACTAGGGGACTTGAAGCTATTTTTCTCTGTGAACCCCTGCACTTCTGCTGTGCAGCTAGAGGAATTTAACCAAAAATTCAAAACTCTGCAACACTCCCTACCTAGAAATCCCTGAAAAAGGTCACCATAAGTCAGAATTGACTTGGCAGCACAGAATTAGTATGTAAGAATGTATTTTGTTATTCATGCTGAAACAGGATATAACAAAAACAAATACAAATAGCATTTTGGCAATGACATAATGAAGTCACATTTCAATAAATATACTGCCTAAAATCCTTTCAGGGAGTGCTACAAGTGCAGTGGGTAAGACATCAGCAGCAGGGACAGACTGATGCTGAATGAATGCACATGGAAGAAAGAATCATAGAATAATGGAGTTGGAAATTGCCTGCAAAGTCATCAAGTCCAATACCTTGCTCAATACAGAAATCCAAATGAAAGTAAATGTGAATGATGGTTGTCTAATTTTCTCCAGAATGCCTCCACTGTTGGAGTGCTCATCACCTCCTCAGGTAATTGATTCCATTGTCGTACTGCTCTAACAATGAGGAAGTTTTTCCTGATATTCAATCGAAATCTGACTTCCTATAAAAGCTGTCCAATATGATGCACTTTAGGATGTTTGAAAAAGAGATTCTGCTCCTACTCTGTATGACAGCCTTTCAAGTATTTCAAAAGTGCTCTCCTATCTCCTCTCAGTCTTCTTTTCTTAAAGCTAAACATGCTCAGTTCTTTCAGCCTTTCCTCATAGGATTTGGTTTCCAGTCCCCTGATCATCCTCGTCGCTCTCCTCTGAACTTGTTCCAGTTTGTCAGCATCCTCCTTGAAGTGTGGTGTCCAAAACTGGAAGCAATACTCAAGGTGAGGTCTAACCAGTGCTGAATAAAGGGAACTTGGAGACTATGCTTGTGTTAATGCAGTCTAAAACAGCATCATGATCAAAGGAACTCATAGTCTAAATTGTAAGTTTGTGAGGACAAGGATCATGCTCTCCTCATACCCTTTTCACTGAATATGTAACGACTAGAAGAAAGTAGATATACTGGAACTACGTACACTTTATGAGTTGTGGACATCCACTCAGACATAGGTCAGAAGGGAAATTTTTACTTAGTTTACAAATCCCATCAAAGCTAGTTTTCATGGGTTGTGCATTTGACGCTATCAGGGAGATGTGTTGCGGCTGCCTGTTTCTAGGACAAAGGACAAATAACAACTTGGAGGAGAAGCGGGAAGGAAGTGGAGTTGATGAATAACAATCCGTACAGCATGATGTAGTTGTTTAGAAAGACAGGAAATAAGATATTAACTTGTTTGGTTCAGTTTTTGTTGTTGTTTTGCTTTGGCCATAGGGTTGATGCTAATGTCTAACACCATGAAGTGAGAAGGTATAAGAAAAACGAATACAGAGAGATAACATGTTTGGAAACAGAAGCAAGACGAGAAACTAAAATCTGGTTTGGAAAAGGCTACTACTATTCAAAGTTTCCTAGATCTAGAAGCATAACTGAAATCCATTATGTGGATCTACAAAAGTGCCATAGTGGAAAACATGTTCTCTTTAAAACACGGCTTCCCCCTCCACTCCCTTGCAGCCTTGCCATTTTCCACACCTGTTGGCAGCAGTTTGTTGATGGCACTGCTGGGCATCTTTCCAGTTTTAAGGAGTCCTGCTTGTGGGTTTAAGGAAAGGTATTTGAGGGCAGAGTGGTCTTGAGAGGGCAATTAAGAGCCATTAACTTGACAAAAAAAACGTTTCTTCTTTTTTGACAGTATTCATCCAGCTGGAGAGAGGCTCATTACAAGGACTGTTGTAATAAGCACATTCACACCGAGATTTCCTACTATGCCAGCTGTTGAAATCTCAGTTCCCAAGCACGCTTTCTGTAGTTGCAGCTCAGTCTTCAAGCAGGGTGTGTGTGAAAAACAGAGACGGGTGGGTCTATCTATGCCTGCTTAGCTTTGGCAAAAGCAACGAGAGAGCAAGATTTTACGGTATTTTTTTTTCACATCCTCTGGCACTGTTGCAGACATTATGTAAGTGTAATAAAACTTCAGAAGAAACCCATTGATTATTTGCTGATTATCAAAATTAAAACCCCACAAAGTAGGAGGTTGAAATAGTTAATACTACAGTGTTCTTTGGGGGTTGTAGAGGCGCTGGTTGCTTGTGAATGCAAGGAGTTGGCTACGCTTCCACTTTTGCCCTGATTTATAGACTTATTTATCTAAAATGTTTCTGTGGTCTTGCTTGTTTTTATTTGCTTCCAATGTTTTTATGGCTGAACCTGCTTTTTACTGCTGTTTTTACTGTGTTTTATGAAGCCACCATGAGAAGTATGTATGATTTTTTTCAGCAGCTGCTGTTTTTGTTGATACTGTTAAGTCCTTGGTGTTAATCCTCTTTTCTGCTCTATGTTTTTAAGCCCCTGAGAGCAAAAGCAATGGGAAATCGAAGAGTTGTATAAAGCTGCCTACTCTACAGCATGTAGCCTCTTGGGAAAGCTTCCTCAAAGTCTTTTTACTGGCATCCTTTTTTTATTCTTTTGTTTCTGGCATCATATTTGGGGTTTCACATCTGTTTCTTCTCCCTTCACTTACTGGTATTAGGAAAAGGTAAGTACGTCCCACTTAGAGAAAGGATAGAACTAGAAGAGGTACCTACCATCTTTGTTATTAGAAGGGGATAAAACAATTATATTTCCAAATTTTGAAAAAGGAAAAAATCTTTAGAGATACAGTTATTCAGTACACCCATGACTTAGTCAAATGCAAATGGAATACTCAGAAAACTCACTCCAGGGCTAACAAATAATCACCACTTCTAATAAGATGGACGCTGCAAAGTTTTAACCTAAAGTTTCATTGTGAACCTGATCGCCAAAGGCAAGCCATCTGCCCATCGTTGCCGCAGAATCAAACCAGTTTAATCCCATTCTTTCTGGAACGCTTTCCAAGATTTTAAATTTTGTTTTCTGAAATAATTTGGCATTTGGTTTCTGCGTGGCAAAAAGCTTGCACAAATGACAGGCAGAATCACAGGCAGAACTAAGGGACATTTAAATCACCTCCCTTGGTGAAAATCCAGGCTTTTCCCCCACAGCGGTTCTTACCACCACCACAGACAATCAGCTTGAAATCCCAGAGGCCAGAAAGCACATGAGGATAGGGAGAAGTTTCCTGCGTAAATGTATTCTGGGAAATTTAACTTTCGAAGGTTCTGTCTCGTGGCTACCATTTTAAGGGCCAGCTGTCACGTATATTCTATGCTGTCAAGTCAGAACCACTTTATAGCAACCTTAATAAGGCTTGAGGGGTGATATTATAGCAACTTTCAAATATTTGAAAGGATGTATTACAGAGGAGGGGCAGGATCTGTTCTCAATCATCCCAGAGTGCAGGACGTGCAACAATGGGCTCAAGTTAAAGAAAGCCAGATTTTGGGTGAATGTCAGGAAAAACCTTCTAACTGTTAGAGCATTACAGTGGTGCCTCGCTTGACGAGGATAATTCGTTCCATTCAAATTGCTGTTAAGCGAAATCCTCGTCAAGCGAAACAAAAGAGCCCATTGAAATGCACTGAAAACCAGTTCAGTGCATTCCAATGGGCGAAATACCTCAGCGTCCAGCGAAGAGCCTCCGTAGGGTGGCCATTTTTGGTGCCTGTAAAGTGAGGAATTCATCCTAAAACACAGCAGGGAGCCATTTTAAACAGCGGGTGGCCATTTTGAAGACTGTCAGCTGTAAAGATCGTCATTAAGTGAAAAATTGGTTCCCGAAGCAGGGAACCGATTGTCATTAAGTGATTTTTGCCTATTAAAACATCGTTTTGCGATCGCAATAGTGATCGCAAAAACTTCATCGTCAAGTGATTTCCTCATCTAACGAGGTAATCATCAAGCAAGGCACCACTGTATAACAGCACCAGTTACCTCAGGAGTTGGTGAGTGCTCCCACACTGGAGGCATTCAAGAAAAACTTAGATTATCACCTGGCAAATATGCTTTGATTCTATTCCTGCCTTGAGCAGGGGGTTGGACTTGATGGCCTTGTAGGCCCCTCCCAACTTCACGAGTCTATGAGTCTATGATTCAAAGGTAAGGGAGATAGTTAAAGAATGAATGTACCAGTTCCACTCCCCCAGTGAGTTTCCATGGCCAAGTAGGGATTAAAACCCTGTTCTCCAGAGTTCTAGTCCATCACTCTATCCACTACACCAGTGGTCCCCAACCTTGGGCCTCCAGATGTTCTTGGACTACAACTCCCAGAAGCCTTCAGCACCACCTCTGCTGGCCAGGATTTCTGGGAGTTGAAGTCTAAGAACATCTGGAGGCCCAAGATTGCTGACCAATGCACTACACTACACTAGGAATCCCAACACTGAACCCCAGTCTGGTGCGGCAGATAGCCTGACAGACTAGGACTCTGGAGAACACGGTTCGAATCCCTGCTCAGCATGGAAACTGACTGGGGTTTGGAACTGATAAAACCACTCCTTGTATATGTCGTTTACCTTGAAAACCCTATTAGGGTCACGATAAGTCGGTTTCAACTTGAGGCCACACACACATCACATATGTTATGTGGAGCTTGTAGCTAAACAAAAGAATGATTTTGTTAATTTCACAGCAGCTGAAGCAGCCTGTCAAGCAGGAGATCAGCTGTCCTTGGAAATCTGGAACAAAAGCTTTCGCGTCTGCTCCATGTCAAATCCTATTTCCACCGAAGCATTCCAACCAGCAGCTGTCGGTGCAAGCTGAGGGGAACCTCTCCACAGAACTGAAACCAGGGCCAACTGCCATGATAAATGCCTCCAGCTTTGGGGTGGGGTGGGGGGTGGGAAACAGAACTGCAAGCTTTTCGGGTGAAGCAAAGACACCATCCGTCTCTCCATCTAACGTGGTTCAACACATGTTGGCCTCTTTGGAGAGACAAGAAACTGCTATGGTGGAAAACCTTGTGAAATGGCTTCCTCTTCTGAAGCTTTGAATTTCAGAGATCATCACACTTTGCTTGCACTATTCTATTCTGTGTGCACGTGGCAGATGACAGGATCTTTCTCCTCCTGTCTCCATCCACTCGACTTAGAAAAACCCGTGGAACTCGACGAAAGGTCCATGATGGGCAGCTGCATGCTTCCTCCCTAGGGTAGACAGCAGCTTCAGGGAAACTGTTTTATCTCGAAAAGCAGTGCATGGAAGAAGGGTGTCAACGTCCACACCACGGGACTGTATCCCCAACTTGGTTCCAGTCCCCCCAGTTGTTTTAGATTAGAAACAACAATGACAACAGGAAATGTAATCATGGCTGTCTGTCTAGCCATCTTGTTGAGTTGTTAGTCTCCTGTCCAGCTATGACTTTCAGGGCTGAGTGTGACTCAAAGCCACTGATTTGGGGTGTTAAGAAGAAGCAGCAAATAGATAAGAATTTAACTTTATTACTATGGAATTCTTTTCAGAGTCACAGTGGGGGGGAGAGTTGAGGGATTTTCTGCTGTCCAGCAAGATAATTTAGCTAGCTTTAGGCATTATGTACTAGGCTGGTAAAGAGTGTCATATGCTGTGTTAATCAGCAAAATACAGTGGTGCCCCGCATGACGACGATAATCCGTTCCAGCAAAACCGCTGTACAGTGAAATTGTCGTCATGTAAAAAAAAATCCCATTGGAATGCATTGAAAACCGGTCAATGCATTCCAATGGGGAAAATACCTGATCGTCCTGCGAAGATCCTCCATAGGGCGGCCATTTTCCGATCCCTGTCTTGCGAAAATAGGTCAGCAAAACAGCAGGGAGCCATTATGCGAACCGCCGATCAGCTGTTTTTAATCACCGTGAAGCAAAAAATCGGTTCCCGAAGCAGGGAACTATTCATCGCACAGCGAAAAAGCCCCATTGGAACCATCATTTTGCGATCGCTATAGTGATCGCAAAAAAGTCATCGTCAAGCGATTTCGCCGTCTCATGGGGTCGTCGTCAAGCGGGGCACCACTGTATATTGGCTTAATCGTGTCCTGAATGCTTATAGCTACAAGAAACAAATAATTCAGTAAAGAATCCATAGAAGGGGCACAGAATTCAAGAAGAACTAGTTTTACGAAATGGGTTGCCCACTCCAAATTTTCTTTTGCCAATTTATTTCACTGATTATTCAGCAAGTTTAGTCAGGAGTCTGTGCCACTGAACTCACTGAGGCCTCTTATTATATTATTGCATATGTGTAGGTCTGCATTTTTCACCTGCCCTCTTCCAGCACAGTATATCTTTAAACTTCCAGGCTGACTTTCAAGCCCTTCCTTACCTTGCACTAAGTGCAAGGTAAATAGAACAGCTCATTCTGAGCAAGACGGCTGCAGAATGGATGGTTCCATTTTGAGCCAACCGGCTTGGGCTTTTGGCCTAATATCACGCTCATGGGTTTCACAGGGCATCTGATTGCCTGCATTCAGGCTCTTGCATCGCTCCTGTTCAGAGTGAAACTGAACCTCAGAGCACATTCACTACCCCCATGATATCAGGGTCCCCAGCTTATAAAGGCTGCATATGGAGGACCCTTCTGCACAATTAAGGCAATTTTTTTACTCCACATTAACATTTTGAGAGCTGCTGCCATTGCTCAGTAAACAGCCCGCATAATAACTTGGTACTGTATTTTCAAATTCTTTTCTTCATGATATATAGTCTTCAGCTATGCTCACCAGCAATGCAGGACATATGCAGAAGTAAGAAAGCAAAACAGCACCGTGTTCTTGCGTCCATCTTTTACTCCAGGAGCAGGAGAGATCCAAATTGAATCAAATACATTCAGATGATTTCTCTCTCTCTCTCTCTTTCTCTGGGCCTGATTTTAGAGTGTCTTCAGCCTGCAACCTGGGAACAAGAAGAAAAACATTTCCATCAAAACAGGCCTGATCTGAAATGAAAATACCCCCTTTGACTATTCCTTTCTGTGTGTGCGAACTGGTCCATGATGTCATATCCAAAACAGACCAGTTCCCTGAACACAGCCAGGGTGGGTGCAGATCCATAAGTTAAGCCTGCTCTATTTTGTTGAGAAATTCAGTAGATGTTTCCCCTATAAACACAAGTAAAATAACAGGGAAGCAGGCCTCAGAGACGATGCTCTAATGCTTCTATCTGCCTAACTGCTTAAGCTTCAACCCTAAATCTCTTCTGCAGATGACAGTCTTCTGAAATCTCATCGGAGGCCCCTTCTGAGATGTATTAAACGCCCCCAGAACCAGGACGATTCAAGAATGCTGAAGCAAATGAAAACGTCCATCCTGTAACTTAATATTTCCTCCCAAGGGTGGACGTTCTTTGAGACATGGGCTAAGACAAATAAAAGGCTTTGCCAGTATGGCTTGCAGTCAGGTAGGAATGTAGCCAGATGTTAAGATGCTGGAGTGAAATCTTTCCGAATGTAAACAGCTTTACTCCCCCTACCATCAGGCCCCAGCGAGGATGGATGGATGCTTGACAAACATTGGTCAAATGACAAAATAGGTTTGGCATCTTCATAATAGCTGGGATTTAAAAACAAAACTAAAAAATGAAAATTGCTATCTCTTGACTGAAGAACGGTTAACAGGACTTTGTATCTTTTCTTACCCACCCATCCAAAGTAGATTACAAATCCATCTAAGCAGCTAGTCAATGAGATACCGTATTTTTCACTCCATAAGACGCACCTTTCCATAAGACGCACCCATTTTTAGGAGAAGAAAACAAGAAAATATAATCTGTTTTCTTCGCTCCATAAGACGCACAGACTTTCCACCCCCCTGTTTTATGGGAAAAAAGTGTGTCTTATGGTGCGAAAAATACGGTATATAGCAGTGACACCTTTGCTCCATTCACTGGAATTTTATTGAGCCCTATCCTCTGGGAATTTCACTCAATGTTACCTACCTGCTTTCAAGCTTATATTTACACCAACAAGGACTAGAAAATTGAATATTAAACCTGAACACTGAACCGCTGTAGTTAATGTAAAAACAAAATGAGAAACAACCAAGCAATTGATTTTTTTTCTACATCTAGACATACGTTGGTTTGTTTTTAGTAACAGTAAACCAATTTTCAAATAAAAATTATTTGGAGGGACAGCTTTGTAAGGAGTGTGCTGCATCACACAATGATTGTTCTTTTCACTGGGTCTTTAAAACCAGAACCTTATATTTTCGTATCGTGATTAGTATGGATGAAATGTGAGCACTGGAGAGAAAAAAATGGAGTTTAGCAGGAATGAGTTGTTAAAAACGCCTTGTTTTCTGTGATTTTCTGAGTTTTGCCATGCCAAGATGATGAGATTTCCTACTCAGGCAGTAGGGCTTCCCCACTTCTAATGACAATGTTTTGTTTTCTCTGCTCCTTTTTAATTTCCCCCTTTTTCTGCAAGCAAGAGCCGGACACAACCCGCTCTCCCAGGCATCATCCACAAACGAGATGCCATTTGGTCCAGAAATGGTAATGATCCTGCACAAATTCTGTTTCTTCCAGAAAATAAATGACCACAAAAATAGCCAAGAAATCCCATGAGATTTGTCCCAAAAAAATGCATACAGACTACAAGCAGTGGGGGGAGGGGAGAGGTTCCTCTTCGCTCCTCGGTCCCAGTTTCTTGTTGAGATCAAGAGGCTGCAATATCTACATCCTTAAAATTCAGCCATGGCTATTGACTTGGAAATGTGAACATATATATTACAAAGGCCCATGCCACCTGGGGGTGGTGGTCTTTTCTGCCTTCCCACTCCTTGCTTCTTGGTAGACCTGCTTTGAGGTTTCCATCATTTTAGCAGCAGACAAATGATTGGTTTCTTGACATGCTTCCATTGGGTGGCTATTTACAAAATTCACATTGTAATATGCTATGCAGCTGATAGAGCACTGTGTGATATTTGGAAAGAGTTTGAAAAAGTTGCTTTTTTAAAATTATAACTTCCAGAATCCCCAGCCAGCACGCTAGGGAGTTGTGACTCCAAAAGTAACATTGCCGGACCATGAGTTTTGTCATTTCTTTAAACAGGCATACATACACATACATATACAGTTCTTAAAAACAGTGCCAAATAAAGAAAATATTATAGCACCCATCAAAGCCAAGTGAGTAGCAAAGTATCTTCAAACATATCTTTCCATCTCCATTTTCTTATGGTTCTCTATCAGGCACACAGCAACCACCCAAATGTCAGTCCTGTTATCAATTAATGCTTTTGTTTAAAAGTGAGTTAACAAGGGTGAAGAACAGATTCATTTCCATTTGATCAGGTTCAACGAAACACAGACTTACCTAAGACTCCTGCTTTTTGCGTCTTTCCTGAACTCCTGCCCAACGGCATTCGTTCTGAATGCTTTCTAGCTCCCGGGGTCTTATATAGCCTTGCGTGCTTAGGGGGTGGAATTGAGCCACACAGATGGAAAAACCTGCTCTGACAGCAACGAAACCAGAGCCTGTATAAATCCTTTTAAAGGAGAGAATACGACCGATTCAAAGTTTTCTGTACAATCAGGAAAACCGTAACAGCCAGACACAGTTGAGAGCACCCAAAAACACAAGGCACAAGAGAGGGGCCCCAAGTACTTCACTGACACGGGCTGGGCATCTTATATTAATATTTTATTTTGGTGGCCAAGGTCAGAACCGCCAAGATCAGCAAAAGTAGCCTCAATGGGGAACCCCTGGGGCATTTGCTAGGAACCGATGAGCGGTCCAGAGTCCACCCTCCCAACAAGTGATGTCATGATTGCGGTTGTGTGGAGCAGCCAGGAATAACAGCAGCAGATAGAGGTTTTGGTGTGTAGCCACACAACCTATCTGTTTCAGGTCAGAGATAACTGGCACATGGAGGGGTGAGAGGATGTAATCCTACAAATGGTAACATAACGATGTGATTCCATGGACCTACACATTGAACCGCTTGTGGCACAGCCCAGTGTTTGCTATTTCCAAGTGATCACATGACTCATGGGAACTAGCATGCCAGCCTGACCCCAATCAGTGCCCGAGCAGGACCTTTTTTGGTTTAGCTGTGAGGCTATGACTTTTGGGGACGGGCTAGAATGATTCTCCTGTAGGTAAAGGTTCCAATAAATAAATAAATAAATAAATAAATAAATAAGAAAGATATCACCGTGGGGAGGGGGGTGATGATAACTTCCTCAATGGCTCAAGGGGGCGTTTCTTTCAAAAGGGTTAAGAACCACTGCTATAACATAAAGATGTGATTCCATGGACCTACACACTGAACCGCTTGTGGCACAGTCCAGTGTTTGCTATTTCCAAGTGATCACATGACTCATGGGAACTAGCATGCCAGCCTGACCCCAATCAGTGCCCGAGCAGGACCTTTTTTGGTTTAGCTGTGAGGGTATTACTTTTTGGGATGGGGTTAGAATGATTCTCCAGTCGACCCAAAGGTTATTTTAAGAGAGGTCGCTCCTGGGGAAGTGATCCTTCCCGGTGCAACCTGACACACACCTTTCCCACTGTCTGATCACACCCTTAGTTTGGAATAGATCTTGCTTGTCAAGGATGGGCGTGCCATTCAGTAAAGTGACGTGGCTGCCCCTGGAAGCAGGTATGAGGGTGCTGAGAAAAATATTCCCAGCTTGTAGTCAGAGCAGAGGGACACGCTGCCATTTGGATGCCCCAGACTGCGAACTGTTATCCAGGTTATTATGAGTTTTGTACTGCCAGGGAGGGACCTTTGTAGGACCAGCATCATCATCAGAGGCCAAAATAAGCCAGTACTGGCCTAATACGTATATTCTAATCTATACCATGAGTTGAGTCAGGAGGAGGGGAGACCGCATTTGCTGCTCTGGATCAGGCAGGAAAATGTCAGTGAAGATGCCTGGCAGAGTTTTACCAAAGGCCCAATTTATCCTACCGAGTTTAATCTCTTGATGAACTGCTTACCCTGCTTTAAAGAAATATTATCCAGTATTTAGCTTTTCCAGAAATCTACATAGGCAGGTCCTTGCCAAATGAGCAAAACGCTTAGGGGCTGTCAAAATATAAAATGTCTAGCAGCAGCTCTTTCTTTTGACATTGTCAAGTGAATGGTGTTACTGTATATAATGGCCAAAAATCTGTTGCAGATACACAAAGGGCATAATTTTTAAGTGGCAAATTGCTTTAAGTTAATAGACTTCTGTGGGCATTATCTATTGCACCCTGAGTCACAGGGTTCAGAAGGCAACAGATGTCTATAAAGATTTCTCAACTCATGCCTTCTGTGTAGCTACACAACAAGATTTCAGCCATTGGGTCAATCATGTGCCTTTGAGGTATCAATCCTCTTTGATAAAATGAGCCATATTTTTTATTCCAATGCTCACACAGTGCTTCAAGGACTGCAGAGAACTAACTGGACATATCGGTAACAACAGTCAGGGTATTCTTAATGAATTGTTGTGTTCTCTTGTTTTAAAATATGTTTTTATATTGATTTTATTGACTGTTTTAATATAATACTTGTTTAATTCTTTTTAAAATATTTGTATACTTACTGTTTTTAGCTTTTAAATATTGTTTTTTTAATTGTTGTAAGCCACCTTGGGTCCTTTTAAGGCAAAATGTGAGATTGCAAACAAAACTCAACAGAGATGTTAAGACAGCCATGATTGTTGTGAAGTTCCATGTGTGTGGTGCTTAGTCCCTTTTCACGACCTGATGAAATAACAGAATTTATCCGTTTTCCTTGCTTCTTCCCCTTCATACTCTCCCCTGAGGTAGTTGTTATGTGCGATCAAGTCAATTCTGACTGATGACGACCCTATGAATGGAATCCCCTGAAGTGACTCATTTTAATTCGTTCAATTCCAAAACTGTTTTGTGTTTTGCCTGGTGCACAGAATATGACAACAGGGCAGCCTTCTCCCTGGTAAGTGTCCACACGGGAGTAGGACAAAAAAAATAACCGACTTAATAAATAAAAATGAGAAATCGGAATCCAGTTAAGGGCCAGTCTGCTTTGAACCTTCACAATGATACCGTGATACAGTCCAAAGAAAGAAAGAAAAACGTTTGCCAAGTTGTCACAGAAAGAAGAGCTGGCCTCTAATGGCATGGAGCGCAACTGAAGTTTGCAAAGAAAAAACAAATAAAAACAGATGAGATCACTAAATGTTACTGCAATAACAACAACAAAAAAGGGAAGGGTAGGTTCCTGGACTTCTGTTGCCAGATAGCTGTTTGTTTACTGGCTCCTAGAAAGGAAATTACAATATGGCAAATGTATATTATACAGCTTTCTGACTCAAGTTGCTTTCTCCAGTAGCAAAGGTGAAGGTGAAATGTATTCCTCAAGGCTGTTCTCCACCAACAAGCTTTCTCCTCCCCTGTTTCGTGCATCCCACAAAAAGATGACCCAAGAGTCTACACTTTTATTTTTGTTATTTAGAAGTACTAGCCGTCTTCCCCCACCCCATAAGCAAGGATTCAACAGGGCAAGCGTCAGATTTAGGGGTGTTGGCATGAATAGAAAGGGTCAAGAAGTTCATCTTCAGGGGCTGTATCATATTCAACAGGAATCCATCCTTGTGTCTTTCTAACCAATGTATTCCTCAAGACTGTTCTCCACCAACAAGCTTTCTCCTCCCCTGTTTCGTGCATCCCACAAAAAGATGACCCAAGAGTCTACACTTTTATTTTTGTTATTTAGAAGTACTAGCCGTCTTCCCCCACCCCATAAGCAAGGATTCAACAGGGCAAGCGTCAGATTTAGGGGTGTTGGCATGAATAGAAAGGGTCAAGAAGTTCATCTTCAGGGGCTGTATCATATTCAACAGGAATCCATCCATGGTACCTACCTGCGGTGCAGTTGTAAAAACAGATTGTGTGGACAAGCACACCCACCCACCATTGTGATATTTTCCAGAAATCTGCTTTGGTTCCTGCTTTTTCTTTGGAAGGATATTTCATGCTACAACATTATGTCTTCACGTTGACCTACAGCTGAGTAAGCCCAGGCCATCTGGGCATACAGCACAATAACCACACCCAGCAAATGTTTTAGAGAAAAGAACACGCCTTTGTTGGTTTCAGTAGCAGTTCATTGACCCAGCCATGAGAAGGGGTCCATCATCTGAGGAAACTCGAGTGCCACCCGATGCTGCCACCGCACATCAATGGATTGCTGAGGGACGCTTACAGACCACCTGGCCATAATGCCATTCAGTGGCTTCTGGGGACAGAACAAGACCTTTAGCCCCCAAGCTAAGCCAGAACAAATGCCCTGTTCCCCAGCTCCCCTTGATTCATCTGTACCCAGAGGTAGCAGGTTCCTATCTGCGGCCCCAGCACAGCCCGGATCCACCCCAATGCCAGAATAGGCCAAGATACCTAGAATTGCTACGCACCCATTGTACCCACCCCGAAAGCATTAATCATGTGTCATCCCAACCCATCCCAAAGAACCATCAACAAACAGGGAGGGGGAGAGAGAAGGCCAGCAAGCCGCAAAATGGAGAATGCTTAAGCATCGACAGCCCCTTTTCCATCCTCTGCTTGCAGCCGGTTTGCTTCTCCACCACCTAAAATTTCAGCTCTCAATAAAAGAAAAAACAGACACAAACCGGAGAAAGCTTTATTGGCACCCTCGTTCTCCTCTGTTTCAGTGTTCAGCCCAGCCCCCCTTGCACAGAATAACAAGAAAATCCCTCTTGGCTGGTTCCACGGTAGAGCAAAACCATCTTAATTCAATTTTGCTGAGAAGTCCATGTTCTTTTCCCCAAGGCCAAGCCTTCATCTGGCCCACTCCTGCTTCAGGGAAATGTTTACATTTAGGTTGCAAAGTCATGAATGTTACGTGTTATGTTGAACAGAACAGGAGAGACGCCGAGGGGCCTCCCGCGGCAGATGATTTAATGGATGCTGCACTCACTTATTTTGTAGGACATGACAGTTGGAGAGAGTTTAAAGACGGCTGCACAAAACAGCCAGACCAAATTCTAGAAATGAGTTTCAGTCCAGCTGGTAGTCCCCACAGGAGCAGATTCATTGAATCAATGGGATTCACTTTAGTGCTGGCTAAAACTGATCTTCTAGGTACACAGAAATGGTTTAATTCACTTTAGTGCTGGCTAAAACTGATCTAGGTACACAGAAATGGTTTACTGGTGCAGTGGACCCTCGACTTACGGAATTAATCCGTATTGGAATGGTGGCTGCAGGTCGAAAAGTCTGCAGGTCGAGTCTCCATTGACCTACAATGCATTGAAAAACGATTAATCCCGTAACCGGCCATTTTTGTTCCATTTTGGTTTTTTTCTGGTCTGTAGGTCGATTCTCCGGCTGCAAGTCAAACCTAAATTTTGTGGCCAGAGAAGTCTGTATCTCAAAAAGTCTGTAAGTCGAGCCATCT